TTGAGAGGTATTTGAAGCATTACAGAAGGAAAAGGAAAAAAAATGTTCTTTCAGCTCCAAAGTCTACCAGGGACTTTTCCCAGCGGATGGGGCCTTGACGGACACAGCAGATTGCAACAGAGGTGGTGTGCAGTGTGTACTGCCAGCGCTGCTGGTAAAAACGTCCCACAGTAACCCTGAGTGATGCGGGGAAAGGAACCTAACAGTCCCAGCTCAAGTCTGAGGAAACTGACCAGGTGACGGGCATTGCTCACAGAACCACAGAGAGGGCAGAGGCTCAAGACTTCTCCCAAACAAGGCACTTTATGTCATCTCTTCTGTTACAAAGGGAAAAGGCAGGCAGCCACGCATCTCCGAGTCATTTGAACCTCCTCCTGGCGCCCCCAGGCTGGCTCAGTTCGCCTTTTCCCACGTGGAAGCTTAGGGCTGAGAGACACTCTTGCTGTCAGCAAGGTACCCAGCCGTGGTTACTGCTTGTTTTCCCTGTGTGATTGTAAGCGCCCAGAGGGCAGGCCCGGTACACAGTTCAGCAACTAAATGCACAGGAGCTGGCTCATTGTTAGGAGTGCAGCCACATTTATTCCATCACCGAGTGAAAACCAAGCAAGAAGGCACTGAACCAATCTGCTGGGAAGGGGAAGAGGAGGTGGGCATGGAGACTCCCAGGGTGGGAAGCACAGCTCTGCGGCATTGAGAAGTGACTCCTCCAAAGCCCTCTTCCTCCTGGCTGCCTCTGTCGTGAGGACCCAGACTGGCATCCCGAGGACAGGCAGGGGAGGACAGAGATGAGAGAACAGAAGGGAAAGGGGAAAGGGGGAAGGGGAAGGGGAAGGGGTGAGGAAAGCAGGCAAGGCCATTTCCCACCTCCGTGGCCCTCCCTCTGTGGCCCTCCAACGCGCCACTTCTGGTCTCCACGCCTTCCGCCCGTCCCCCCCTTCCGCTCCACCAGGCACCAACGCTGGATGAGCAACAGCTGAGACAGGGAGGTAGGGTTTGTGCCAAGAGCCACAGGCAGTTTCACTTGGCAGCATCCCAAGGAGAAATGGCTCCCTGTTCAGCCACCAGTGGGAAGGCCACCAAGTCCTGCCCACAGTTCCCACACTCCTGCCCACTCCGACAAGGGCGGAGGAAAGCGTGTCTGCCTTTCCAAAGCCAGAATGCAGAATGCCCAGCCAAGGCGAACACTGTCCCCGCTTAGTGACCACAGAGGGCTGGAGAGCAGAACCTGATGCTGCTCGGTCCACACTTTCACCGCATGCCGCCTGGGGCGTCCTGGGCTGGCATCTCCAACACTGTCCCTTGGGCATCTGAGTAAGCGATGAGTCTGGGACGCAGCCCGGCCACAGAGGCTGTTTTCCTGCTCTGCATTCCCAGAGCCTTCCCTTCTTGTTCTGCTCTCTCAGGGAGAAACCAAGGAAACGGCTGTGGGTCACAGTGGGAGACAAGGGACACGGGCAATACAAGGCAGGACACACAGGGTCTCCCAGTGGGTGGGGCGAGGAGCTGCAGTCACTCCGCACATGTGACTCGCACACCGTGGACGCTGGAACTTCCCACAAGCAAAGCCCTTCATTCATGGGCACCCTCCCATTTCCCACCATGGCTTCCACACACAGCCAGCTGTGTGTCTCCGGTCTGTCTGTGAGTGGGCACCAGGCAAGGCCACATGCTCACGTGCATACACACACATAACCTCATACCCTCCACACACACCAACAACCCAACACACTCCCACACTAGTGGATTGATAACTTATAACCCCCAGCTGAACTGAGTAAGCATGGTGCTGGTTGTGGGAGGCCCACCTGGGGACTGTTGCCAGCAGCATAAGAGGCAGAACTGGAGAAGAAGAAGAAAGGCTTTTGGGAACTAAGAGGCTATTGGGAGCGGGAAAAGGGTGCTGGAGCTGGTAGAAGCTGTAAGGAGCCGTTGGTTGTTTTGGAGGAGTTTGTCATGCTGGCTTTCCTGATGAACTTGGCTGTTTACATCCTGCAAGGAGCTCGGGACCTTGTTGGCATGGAGGATGGCTTTGGTTCACTTTCGGGGAGCTCTGGTCCTCACTTTGAGCATTGCTTCCTAGCTCCAGAGGGGAAGATGGTGCACTACCGGTCTCCAGGAGAAGTTTGCTGTGTTGGCTTCCCTGATGGGAACTCAGCCATCTTGATCGTCAGAGAAGCTCAGGACCTCACTGCTGCTGACAACGCCTGTGGTACCTTTTGGGGGAGCTCTGGTTCTTCTGAGCATCGCTTCCTGGCTCCAGTGCAGATCTCTCAGCCTGCTAGCACAGATCCTTCCTCCCACTGGCACAGACTTCCTAGATTCCACCACTGATCTTTGGGCCCTCACAGCAGATCTGTGAAAAAGGCCTGCATGAGATGTTCTGGGCTCTGAGCCTCCAGCTGGATTTGTGGGAGGCATTGTTATGAGATCTGGGTCTTCAGCTAGGCTCATGTAGGATATTATCGCGGGATCCAGGCCCTCAGCTAATTTCCTTGGTCTTAGTGTATGGACAGATTTCCTGCACTCTCTTGTATATGATTCTTGGGTGACTATTATAAATAATCTTATAAAATATGGGTCCTGCATTATATTGTTCTCCCTTGCAAAAATAAGCCCCAAACACACACACACACACCCCACACACACATACACTCCACACGTATGCCCTCCACACACCACACATAGGCCACCCCAATACACAGCCCCCACACACATACATTACACATACGTATATGTACACCCCATACATAGTCCACACACCCCACACATTCCACATATACATATACCCAGACAACACACTACACACACACATTATACACAGACCACCTCCCACACACTCCCCACACATGTATATACACACATTCCACACAGGAATATACCCATATGTATGTACTCCACACACACCAGGCAGGCCACTACCCACATATACCACACACATCACACATTCTACACATACACAGACCACCTCCCATGTACACAACACACATGTACACATATTACATTCCACACATACATGTACCCCATACACAATCCATATACACCAGAGCCCACCCCAATACACACCCACACACGTTTACACACCGTATTCCACATACACTCCCACACACACTCCACATACACATACCTATCTTAACTATACATGCTCCACATGCACATTTCTCCCTACGCACACACAACATATGCACTCTACACATACAGACTCAATGATTTTGGTGCTTAGTATCTCCTAGGCAAGTACACTGGAAGTCTCTGGTCTGTGTCAGATCTCTAGAAGGGAAACAGCGGAAACTAAAATTTTCCTGTTAAGTTCCCATTTCCTGATGGAGAGGGAGACTGCACGTTTCACCCACAATACAGTAGTGGCTGTGACCAACAGTCTGGGTTTTCACACAAAGGAAACATCCCACAGCTTCCTGACCAAGTGTTTTCAAGAAAGGCAACGTGGACACTGTTACGCGGAATTGTGTTCTTCGCCAAGGGAAGCAGGCAGAAACTAAGTAGTGTGCTCTCAAAGTAAAATCCTGTCATGACAGAACTGGGCTCTCATATGCTCGTTCACTGTCCTCACAGATGCCCTTCAAAATCCCCTGCTGTTTAGTTTTCAAATAAACATTTTAAAAAAGTTTTTGGTTTTGTAAGAATTTTTATTCTTTTTTTGGAGACCAAGTCTTGCTGAGCAGCCCAGGCTGCCCCCAAATTCGAGGCCACCTTCCTGCTTCAGCCTTCCCAGTGCTGGGATTACAGGTGTAGGTGGGATAAATTCTTGATGCTATCATATGGACTCATTTAACAATAAAACAAAATCTCCACCCCATGCCCTTTGGTCAGAACGGTCTTATTTCAGCAAACTGGGTGGGACGAAATATATTTGCAGGTTATTTTTAGCTCTCCCAGCAGTACACAGAGCGTTGCATTTCAGGTCATGTGGTCCTCAGCCAAAACAAGTGAAGCGAGAGGACCTGGGCCCGGCTTCCTCCCCTAGGGAAGCTCGGGTCTTGCACACCCGTGCTGCGCTGTCTCCTCCCAGCCTCCAGGCAGGAGCTCTCTAAAGCACAGACTTCAAACTCTCCTCTTGCAGACAGAATGTTCATTCCTTTTCTCCTGTCTGGAACTGGAAGTCACGAACACCAGTAGATTTCATGGCTTCTGTCTTACTAAAGGTTTGTGGAAATGCCAGGCGGCTCTTAAAGGGAAGTCCCATTACTTCATTTCCTCCCTTCGCTGTGAACGTCATGTATCTCCAAGATCCGTGGGCTCAGGGGCCTGGGCTAGTGATTGCTCAGTGTGGTTTTTCAGGCGGCGAGCAACAAGTCCATTTTTAAAGTCTTAACTGTAGTAGCAGTTTGCCTTTAAGAGCTTTCTCTTCAGGGTGGACTTTTGAGTTTGTTTTTAAAAATTAAATATTCTTGAACCTGCCACTAGAGAGAAGTAGCAGCTGGTTTCAAAACTCCATTTTCTCTGAATGCTTTCTCAATGGGTGTTTTACACAGGAGGGAGGGACCGGGTTGTCAGAACTGTAACTCTGTAATTTCACCATCTCCCTCCTCATTTAGGGCTGGGGTGCAGAATCACAGTCCCCGCTGAGGCTCCTGCAGGTCTGACGACTGAGTGAGCTGAAACAAAGGGCCCACTGCACTCACCAGTGGCAAAGTGAGGCTCACACTGCCCCATGAATATGACCATTGTGTAGTCCAATATGGCCAGAGGGTCGTCAGCCATTAACCTTAACCTGCCAGCATCTCCCTAGCTCTTTCTATGTAGCACAGGGGTCCCCAAAGTCCACCCCCACACTTAATAACTCATCAGGAAAGAGTAGGAGTCCAGCAAAATATCAACACAAGTACTTTGTCCTCGGTAAATTTAGATGTATTTTGTTCAACAAAGGCTTCACCCCAACCGGCACAAGGAGAAGCACAAAGACATGTAAAGATTGTATTTCTGCGAATGCAGCAAACTCACACTTACACCAGCCCTGTACCAACTAAAGCCAAGGCTGGGGCGTCAACAAGAGGAAGTCGTTCTTTATTCCAGAAATAGACCTTCAAAAGGAACCAGCTTGGTGCTAATGAGAGAGGCGGGGTTGGTGCCGCACTGCTGGTTCATGCACCCACCCGCCAGGTCTGCTGCTCCGCAAACTGGAAGCATTTTCCCACAACTCTTAGCCCTGCCATTCCCAAGGGAGTTCTGCATTTGTTCTTGTAACTGAAAGATGCTCCGCAACACAGTAACACTAGGTATTTCAATTAAATTATTTTACTGAAAAAACATTGCACTTTGAGCACCAGAGCAAAGACCACTGCAATCGGTGGGGCAGGTAACAGGTACAGAGGGCTCAAGCCGGCCTGGGGGCCTGGCCACAGCCACCGGGAGGGGTCAGGCCGAATGCACTGGGGTCCCACAGTGTTTGTGCCACAGGTCGATGGCCTTGCTCACGACGGCATCCGAGCTGTCCCGGGGAATCTGCAAACAGCAAAGCACCCTGGGTGAAATTCCTGGGTTCATAATTTTAGGATCTTCTTTCATTCACTGCAGCCTAAAAATTACAGTATTTCCACAGGAGTTTCCACTGTTTCTCAGAAAGCAACAGCATAAAAGGACTGTTTCATTGCCACCTGAGGACACGCTGAGCGGCTCCAGTGTCAGACTGTGCTGGTGCAGGTTCAAACCCTGCTGACTGTGGGGCCCTGGGCAGCTTCCCAGAGCTGCCTGGAGGCCAGAACCCTGTCCCTGAAGGGGACACAGATACCCAACGTCACAGAGCTGTTCACAAGATGACAGGAGGTCATCAGGCCCTGGCACTATCGACCACGGATTATGATGGTAAGGAGGATACATCTAGGGAACACAGGTACTTGGTACTGATCATTTACCAGGCCACTGTCCAGGCATTTATATAGACGCATGAAAGGGGCACAAGTTCTGGGTCTCATCCATGACATACTCCTTATCCCCCCTCTTGCTAGCAGAGGAGTCCAGGAAACAGGGAAAAGTTGACTCATTTAGACCTTTTTCAACATCCACTAAGATGATACTCAGTGCATTAACAAATCCAACTGGGATTACACATCCACATGCTGGCCATCACAGGGGACGAGGCCCTGGGCCCCACTGGCAGGCTCAGCAGTGGCCTCACTGGTCAGAACAGCAGCCCCCGAAGAGCGGAAGATGTGAAGTATTATCCCCAGGCCAATGTGATGCCACTTTTCCGGGAGAAAAGTGTTTTTTATGAAGTACACATATATGGTATTATTTCTCTGGAATAATGTAACGCAGCAGGAAAATCTGGCTTGCTAAAGCTCATTTCATTTCTAGAGTCAAGATCAAATCAAATAATGCACACTTACATTTTCCAGGAACTTTGTTATCTTCTCTGCACTGTTCAATGCCATTACTTTTAGTTTAAAGGTTAATAAAATTTCCACAGCTACAAAAACGAGGATCTTACAGGATCCACTTACAACTTTATCCCAAACCCTACAAAAACAAAGAGGTATAATCATTTTACATGGGTCTGAAATCCATGTTTACCTATAAACATAAATTATACTCTCAAATTAGAAAATAAGATCACACGACTCGTACTTTAAGTAAAAGCTTCAGGGAATGACAATGAAATAATTATCAGAAACAAAACAGATGAGCCTTTTGAAATCTGCTCCAGACACAATGAGCACTGAAAGTAAAAGAAAAATTCACTGAAAATGACCGCTCAGGACTCAGGATATGGCTCAGTGACAGCTTGTTGGCCTAGCACACGCAAGACCCTGGGTTCCATTCCCAGCACCACACACACACACACACACACACACACACACACACACTCTCCTCAGAATCTACAAAATGCTCATTTCCTCATGTTACAAACCTGAAATTTTCAAGGAATGAAAGAAGTCCTAAACTAAAACTTGCACTTCATTAATATTCTGTAATGTTCATATAATTATTGCAACACGGGACCACAACAAAAGAAGCATACGAAATGTGAGATAAAGTCAGTTTCACTGCCAGTGAGTCTGGGGACAGATTCCCTCAACTACTCTGTGGGCTTACGGAGCCAGTTATTGATCCATCCTATTCTATTTTATTAACGCCTAAAACTTTTGAAGTTGGTATGATCATCTATAGCCGAGTGGCAAACCTACGACACGCATGCTGTTTTTCTTTTAAGACAAAAGATGTTAACATATGAGCTTTTCTTCCCCTAAACTAAAACCCCAACATTCAGGTTTAATGGCAGTGCTGGCCCTTTCCAATGGCAAAGTGGGTTTCAGGTTGCAGTCTGGGCTCTGCGCACTCGTCTTTAAAAGGTCCATCATTACTGGTCTACGCACTTAGTTCTGTGCTGTGTTCCAGCGTTCCCTGTGTACTGCCTTTCTTCCCAATCACATCACAAGGCCCCAAAGGGGCAGAAACACAACTCAGAAACACAAGGGCCTGAAACTGACTTAGAACGGCAGGTTGAGTCTCAGCTCTTTGAGCATCTTCAGCTCTTTTAAAGGTGCCACAAAGAAACAGAAATACCATGATTTCAATGAGATCAGGACCCACCACAATTCTAGAAAAGAGGACCTCCTGCTTATATAAACCTGTGGACAGTTTCAGATGTAACTACTCTATAGCATCTACTGCACAGAAGGTGCTCGAACTTTCTAAGTGTGTACTCAATAACAAGCAGAATCGTGTGCTGTGATGGTAGCTGCAAGAGAATTTAGCTGCAAATCTGTGCTAAGCAAATTTATATGCTGAGGGACAACCACGAGAAAGGCTAGGATTCTCCTCTGACTCCAGGCCCTCGGTGTGTCTCAGAAAGAAACACTTGCCTCTGCAAGCTGGATTCAGGCAGGCATCCCGCAAAGCACCTCTTAAACCAGAGATCATAGGGCAGCTTAGACACTGCAGAACAGGACTTCAGATGATTCAGCAGTCTGCTGTCTTCCAGATTCAAGTATTGTTCCAAAGCCTTTGGCTAGAGATTAAACAGGAAGAGAGGTCACGCGTTTCCTGTGACATGACATCACCTGATGTTACGGCCTATGATGAAAAAAAATTTGCATGCTGAAAGCAAGGAAGTCCTAGAAAACAAAACTGCAGGCCTATCCAAGTCACTTGTGACACAGCAAATTTCCAGGTCAGTCTCACCTTCCTGGACTGAGGGGTTTCTCCTGGACACAGACTCTTTTAGTGCTCAACCTGGGCCAACCCCGGAAAAAGAGAACAGTCAGTCACCATGGTGCTTATTGCACTAACCACATTCAACAGCCTCAGAAAGTCCAAATCATAATTCAGTCATTCTAAGGGGCCTGTGAGAGTACTGGTTGTTCTGGAGTAGTCAGATTAGATTAGATTAGATTAGATTGGATGGGATGGGATGAGATGAGATGATGAGATGAGATGAGATGAGATGAGATGAGATGAGATAGAAAGGATGGATGGGATGGGATGGGTGGGGTGGGGTGGGATGGATGGGTAGGGTGGGATAGACGGCATGGATGGATGGCAGTCAAGGGAAAAGAGGAAGGGTAGGACCAAAGTGGAGTGGGATTAGGATAGAATGAAGGTAAAATGAGACAAAAAGAGATAGTTATGAAAAGGGGCCAGTAAGTCACTAAACACACACACACACACACACACACACACACACACACACACACACGCACACACACACAGTTACTGGCAATGAGTAGAAAACAGAAAACCTCATCATCTGTTTGAAGAGCATAAATTGATATGGCCATTACGAAATACACAGATTTTAGGTGTCTCCCCTTCACTCACGCATTCCCTTATAGGGAGCTGCCTCACTATATACATGGTGACCATGTACAAAGGCAGTTTATTGTCAGTGTGTGGCTGTTAACATGGGCAGATTCAATACAAGAACTGTAAATAAAATAGAAAGAAAAAGTAGTTACTAAATGAGTGGATCTCAACCCTAGCCACACTTCAGAGTTGCCTGGAATCTTTAAAAAAAGTGGAATTTCAGGGCCCCATGGAAAGATGGAAATGGAAAGATTCTCATTTAATTGGCCTAGTGGAGGAGGAAAAGCCATAGGAATTGTTAAAAGCTCCCATATACCAACAGGGAATCAGGACTGAAAAGGAGTGTTCTATCTGTACAAACCTGTAAATTTCTCCAAATTAAAAACAGAACTACAGGGCCATCTGCACAGCATGAGGCTACTTTGTTGTCGTTGTTTTTTTTTTTTTTTTTAAATCACTTTATACATCCACATGCAGGAAAAGGTCTAGAAGGGTGTACACCAGGCCCAGGACAATGCTCACTGTTTAGGAAGGGGAGCGGGGGTGCTGGTCCAGACCTAGGGCAACGTGAATTCATCCGGGTGGTTTAATGTCTTTTGAGAATGTATTCATTTATTACTTGCGTTTCCCAAAATGAATTTTTTGTATATACCATAACTTATCAAAGTGCTGCTAACTTACTCCAATATTAAGCAAAAAATGCTAAGAAAATAACAGTATGATTAAGGCCTCCTGATTTGACAACCAACGTTATATTTACTTATGCTCCAATTCCATGCTTAAAAGCGTGTTTATCAAACTCAACTAAGTAGAAAATCCTAAAATCAAATTTTACATAATTAAAATATGTAAAAACTGCTCTCGTAAGAATAGACAGAAGCTGGAAGGTCCTGCCTTTCTGCCCCCTCAGTACACGGGGCACACAGTTGTAGCCGTGGTCTTCAGAGCTGGACTGCCTTCTTCACTGCCCCTCACCTCCCTGGCACCCTGGGTCACAGTTACCACTTTTAGGAGCATTTTCAAATAAACTCAATGATTTAGGAAAAAACATAAGTTCCTTTTTATAAATGGTTTTTTTTAAAAAGGGGACAAACTGGAAAGAAGAGAAGCACCAAGGAAGACTGGCTTATGCCACAAATCAAGAGCCACTCGGCACTCGGGACTCCTCAGCCACGGTGTGGCACCAGAGCTGCCCCCATCCACGCACTTTCCTTGCTAAAGAGAATCGCTGCTCTCCCAGGAGATCATCTCACTCTGGGTTTTTTAAAACCATGTGTCCCAGCCTCTGCTGCAGAGAAAAAGCCAAGTGACACAGTCCTAGCCACTAATACCAATGGCCCTGGCTTACGACAATCCAACTGCAGATTTTTCAATTTGACAATGGGGTTCAAAGTGATGCACTCAGGAGAAAGTGCTGGTGGAATTTTGAATCTGGATCTTCTCAGGCTGCTGGTGCATGGTCTTACAGTCTTACCCAGCCAGGCACACAATCGTGAGGAAAACCCACCCATACTGCAGTTGCCTCAGATGTTTAGAAAGTGAAGGGAACTACATTTTCATCTTACGAAGGTTTCTTGGGCTACAGCCTCATCCTAAGCTGAGCATCTGCGTACTTGCAGAAGGAAAGCCTGCTTGAGACTTGACAGCTTGCCCCTCTCCCGCCTTCACATTTATCTTTGCCCTTCCCTTTCTTCCTGCCCAGAATAGGAATATCATAGCTTGTGGACCTATAGGAGTGGAAAGACTCTGTCTGATATTGGAGCAAAATGACAGGCGTCCATATTGTGGTGCTGTAAAACCAACTGTGGTCTGCTTTACCTCTGGACTTGCAGTTATGTGAGAGAAAACGGGCTCCTGTTACTTGGATCTTCCATTACATTACACCCCAGCAACTTCAATCCTAACTAATACACGTCGAAGGAACAGTCTAGATAAAGCTGGTGCTGTAAAACCAACTGTGGTCTGCTTTACCTCTGGACTTGCAGTTATGTGAGAGAAAACGGGCTCCTGTTACTTGGATCTTCCATTACATTACACCCCAGCAACTTCAATCCTAACTAATACACGTCGAAGGAACAGTCTAGATAAAGCTGGTGGATTCTGGACCAAGACAGGGAATACTGTAGACCAAATGTTGGCAAAATGTAGCCTGCAGTGGTGCAGTTCCAAGCCTGGCATTTTTCAGTGCATGTCTACGGCTGCCTTTGAGCTCCAGCAGCAGAGCTGAGCGACTGCAGCAGAGATCCCCGGCCACCTGGCTGGAGATGTTTACTGTCTGGCTTTACACAGAACACATTTACTGAGCCCCTATGGAGAGACTCCACTCATAAATACGCAGCACCAGTTAGGTTCTTGCTGATGATCCTTAACACCACTGCTCACCCCCAAAATTAGCCAAAAACACTCCTCACCAGCTGCGGCAAAGAATCCCGGTACTTGTTATTTAACTGGTTCACAAAGCATCGGATGATCCAGTAGCAGTCAACACTATCTTTCACCATTTCTTCCATGGCTTTAGCAATGGCAAGAAACACTTCATCTTCTGGCTCCTGAAAGATTCATGAACACCTCAGGAGAGAGCAGGAACAGAGAGGAAGACACAGTTCTTTAATAAAAATAAAACCTTGCCACCTAGATTTGGAAAAAGCCACATTAGTAAATCAAAGTATGATCAAAAGCAGAGTCCACCAGTAACGAGAAGCACAGGGTGGAGGATGAGGGACTAGAGAAATCTACTGGAACCGGTGCTGCTTATGAAGGACTTGTTTTTAGGGAGCCTCCACCTTCTAACATTGAGCTCATCACAAAGTCAACATAAGTCATAAGCAAGGCTCTTACTTGCTCCATCGAGATCGTTCACAGTGCTGGAACAGAATTTCTCCCAAAAGTATGTGATAAGCCGCATGTATCTGCAGATTCTTGTCAACACAGGAATTTTCAAATATTAAAGGACTTCAGAAGCACTGCCAGGGCATTTGCTTTATTTCAAAGCATTCATATACACCTTTAGAATTTTTTTGTTGCAGGTTTTTTTTAGACAGGGTCTTGCTACATATTTCAGGCTGGCATGAACTAGCTATGTGGTCCAGGCTGGCCTCAAACTCACAGTGATCCTCCTGCCTCAGCCTCTTGAGTGCGAGGATGACAGGTGCCCTATCTCTAAGCATCTAAATTTAAAAGTCTCTAGAACCAGAATTTTAGGAATCAAGAGAATGTGTGTCCATACTCAGAACACAAGAGTAAACCCTCAAGTAAATTTCTACAGAGAAATCTTATAAAAGCCGCAACCTGGGCTAAGGATTTGGCCCAGTATTAGAGCACTTGGACTGCATATGCAAAGGCCCTGAGTTCAAGCCCAGGGGTTGCAAAAATAAATAAACACCTAGAACCTGACCTGGGAAACTATTTTGTTTTCTAACACTGTAATCATACACAAAAAGCTTTACATTTCATGTAGGATTGCATAGCTGAAGGATTTTAACATTAAAATGAAACTAAGAAGCATCTCTCTACTTCCCTAAAAAGTTCTGAGTTACATCAGAATCCCTATTTTAATGTAAGTATCTCATTATGAGGCCTTCCTTCAACTTGTAAGTGTTCTACAAAACACAGTAACAGGATCACAGAAAATTAATTTTTCTAAGCATCAATGTGAGAAAGAAGGAAAGAAAACTCTCCTTTCTTAGACTCCCATGCAATCCTGAGTCTGGCTCCAGATGCTCTGCAAGGTCACTAACTGTCCCTCTTCGAGGAAGAGAACCCATGTCCCTCAATAGCTGCATTTGTGGTTGAGTGTGGCCACACATTCTCATTACTGGATAAAGGATGAGCAGGGCTTGTGACTGTGGGGGACAGGGCCCCCAGCACACACTCGAATACGTGTGCCTGGGCTGGGTTGTGAGCGGCACAAGCTGCATGAGGACAAGGCAGAAGCTAAGACCTATCATCTACATTTCTGGAGCTGACAGATTATCCTACTAATTTAATATGTAATTTAAGGACATGTGCAGTCCTAGCAACTTCATTGTGCCTGTGATACAGTGCTGCTTACAGGAGATTGTGACAAGTTCCAATTATTTTTTAGGGAATTTCTCTCTCTTGATAATTTTTAATGAAAGCAGATGACCTTTAGCTCCAACACTGGCCCATGAGTATCATGTCATTAAATTCAAAAGATAAAAATAAATATTTTTATTATGGATTGCCATCCAATCTTCCAATACGTAGATTTCATAGATCAGCAAAACTTGCAAGCAGTTCCCTGTTTGAACCATTCTCTGTTTTAGCCAAACAAACCAACCTTCACTAAAATGCCTAACAAGAACTGCAATAAAATAGCCAAGGCTTCAATCTATAGTCTTTCTCTACCTGCCTGCTTTTTCTTCCCCTCCCAACAATAAGAAGCCCAAGTCATTGAAGTAAGGGGTTTGCTAGAGATGACATTAACAAAGCAGCTTGGAGCAGGGAATGGCAGCAGAGAAGGTGGGCAAGGCCAAGGAAGAGGCTGAGGCAGTGAAGGGTCAGGGCTGAGAAAGGTGCAGAAGCAGCCAGGGACCACCTCCACCTGCAGGTCCAGGGCCATGGGGACAGAGGCACCTGAAGGTCAGAGCTGAGGTGGCTGATGCTGCTTGTTACATATTGTTGTGGTTACTTTTTCTTGTTGCTGAGACAAAATACCCAATCCCCAAAATTAAGGGAGGAAAAGTTTATTTAGCTCACAGTTTGTGGAGGTTTTAGACCATAATCAGCTGGCTCCAAGGTAGGGTGGGGTGGCATGGTACAGGGGAAGTGGGCCAAGGCGGCCGAAGACAACAAAAGCATCAAGAGCAAAAGGAGGGGCAGCAAGCCTCTTTTCCTCCCTTAGATTGTATGTAGGCTATCTACCCTGGTGAGGGTCCTTTATACCCATACCATCTCTGTGCCTTTCTGTTTCACAAGCTCAGGATGTTTATAAGGTAAGGACCCTGGCTCTCTGCTGAATTAAACTTCTTAACGTCTCAAGTTGACACAATGAACAACATGCTAGAGCGGGAAGGGCATATCTTTTTTACCCCAGGATGTAGAACTGCTGGGGTATTTAGTTAAGCTTCTAGACTCCTCAGGTTAACATAGTGCATCAACCATAATAATATAGAAAATAAGCAAGGAAGCAGAGAAGTACATGTATCGGGGATGACGAGAGCCTTTTCACATCTGCACTGGCAAAGGGAGCTGAAAATACGGAAAGGGGAAAGGGTGGGATGAGTTTGTGAGAGTGGACTGAAACTGAACACATCAATAGGAACTCAAAGTTTTAAACTTATCTGTAGATATGATATATAGGTATATGATTATATATACTCATGTATATATAACACCCAAGGTGTGATATAAGGGTATTGTACATGTTTAAATTTTAAAAAAAGTTATTATAGTAAAAGACACACTGCCATTAATCTCTGCCAGTATACTTTCCCTTGTTTTAAACACACTCATCCCGTTGTACTTGCCACTTTCTGAAGCAGTTCTGGAAGTCCTCTTTCCTGAGTGTCTTAATGAGGTGTGACCAGAAACACAGGGAATGCTGCTGCCAAGTGGCATCCAGTGGAAGGCCAGGCTTGTAAAGCACTGCAGGGTGTCCTCTTCCACCTATTCACCAGATCTGCAGCATGAGGCTCCTGGATCTTCCTCCAAATGACCACAAAAGGTAAATATTTTGAATAGATTCACAGCATCGAGGCAGCCATGACAGTGCACCTAAAGACACTCAGGAAAGAGGACTTCCAGACCTGCCCCAGAAAGTGGCAAGAATGCTGGGATAAGTGTGTGTGAAGCAAGGGTGAATATTCTGGGGGAGTATTAACGGCACTGTGCCTTGTTTTTCACTGTAATAAATGTCTTTAAATTTAAACATTCACTGTGTTTTTCAACTATACCTAATATAGGTGCTAGGGACACAGCTTGGTGGCAGAGCACTTGCCTGGCAAGTATAAGTCCAGGTTAGACACCCAATGCCACAAACAAAACAAAACCACCTTACACAACATGTATACAGATATGGAGACATATGTGTGTGAATGTGTGTACACACGTGCATTTCCTACCTCTGCCTACTGAGACTGTCTCGAAACAATGACAGCCTAGAATAATGAACACACATGGTGTCTTATTTTGGTTTCTAAATACCACATCCCCCTAAAAAAGAAATGGCTGATTCTACAGCCGCAGCACAGAGAGTACACAATAAGCTTGGAGCATCTTGTTGTGGCAGAAAGGCAGGAAACAAAACATTGAAACTCATCCAAAAGGCACAGCACAGCTGGAAGGGACTGCCACTGGCTAAGTGTAGGACAATCTGAGCCCCAAAAGTAACAGCAGCCATGGATTCCAGGCCACTGAATTAAAAACAGGACTCCAGAAATTCATACTGGTATCAATAAATAAAAGAAGAGAAAACTCTTTTTTATGGAAAAAAAAAAACAACTAAATATAGAAGGAATGAAAGAAAAAATCATTTGGCAACCAGCAGAGTAAAATCTGTTTGGAGCAAGAATGATTAGTGGGTAGATATTTACAAGTCTCTCAAAGTACCTCGCCTGAGTTACTTATTAACTATATAGGAAAATAGTAACTTCACAGTGGGGAAACCTGGCAACAGCACTTTCATCAACCGATCAAAGCTACAGGAATGGGTATCAGACCTCTTGGTACTCTTGCCAGTAGTGCATAACCAGATTCCAATCACAAGGAAACATCAGAAATGCTCCACTGGCCAGCAGTCTTCAGTGTCCAGGTCAGGAGAGAGCAAGAAAGACTGGGGAACTGTTCCGGATTAAGGCAGACTACGACATGGTCCCTCGGGTAAGGTGTGATGGGGGGCTGGATCCTGGATCAGAGAAGGGCATCAGTGGAACAATCAGCAAAAGCTCAGTATGCGCCGTACAGCAGCTCTGCGTGTTCTGTCAAAGCCAATTCTCTGGTTTTGATCATTAGACCATGGTTATGTAAGAGGTGGCAGTTGAGAGTGCTGAGTGATGCTGCACTATTTTTTTTCAACTTTTTCCTATGTCCAAAATTACTTAAAGATGAAAAGTTAAAACATAAAATTCTTTGAAAAATCATCAGCAGATGTTCAAATTCATGGATAAAAGTTTAATAAGGACTAGGATAACTAACATAGCAGTTTTAAAGTGTCTCTCCACAAAGGGACATAGTAATTACAAAGGGGAAAAAAATATCCAGTGGAAAACCCAGCAGGTACAAGTGAACTTTTCACGGGACCAAGCCCCACTGAGTGCCTGTGGATGTCACTGCCCAGGTGCTGACCCTGCCAAAAGCAAATACCCGGCTATAACGAGCAGAAAGCACCAGCCGATCCTACCACGAGCGGCTGCTGCAAAATAACTGACCAACCCCCCTCCAAAATGTCCAGAGCATGACAGGGAAGAAAAAAAAGGAAACTGACCCAAATTAAAGGTGACTAAAGCAATATAACAACTCTGTGCAACCTATAATCCAAGATTGAATCCTCAACCAGAACTTTTATTGTGTATTTGTGGATAAGGGCGTTACAGGGACAACTGATCAAATGTGAATGGAGTCTACAGGTGAGATGTTAATATCGCATCAACTTCAGCTTCTTGGTCTTGATGCCTGTACTACTGAGGGTACTGTCTTTAGGAGTGAGGGAATCTGAGGTCATAAGACACCATGTCTGCATCTTATTCACAAATGGCTTGGAAAAGGAAGTATGTATACATATATAGGGAAAATGACAAAGCAGATGTCCTAAATGTTAACAGCTGGGGAATCTAGATAAAGGGTGTATAGGAATTCTTAGTAGAATTCTCACTTTTCTGTACCTTTGAAATTACAATTACGTGCTGTATAACAATGTTTTAGGTACCATGGGACCCAAAATGATGGTGGTCCAATTAACCCAAATTGCCCAGTGACACTGCAGCCCTCTAATCCAAGTCAGTATGTTCTATGTTTGCACAATGATCAAAGTGTCTAACAGAACATTTCTCAGAATGTATCCCCATCAGAAAGCAATGCATGACTATAGTGTTTAGAAATAAAATGTATTTTTTAAAATAAGGCAGATTGGATCAGAATGTACAGGGCCATGGATCCCAGGCAGACAGGTTGCTTTCATTTTGTTGACAATGAGAAAACACTGAACATTTCAAGGCAAAATATGATGCAATCAAAGGCTGGCAAAATGGGATGGTTCAAAGTTAACACTCTGGAAGGCTGACCGTAAGTTCAAGTCCCACAAGGGCAACTTAACAACTTAGTAAGACCCTGTCTCAAAATTTAAAAAGGGCTGGGGATGGCGCTGGAGACAAAGGCACTGGGTTCAATCCCTAGTAATGAGGGGTGGAGGGGGCAGAGTTAAAGGTCGAGAAAATTTTTTACTAACCAGTGGAAAGGAGGGACTTCGAGGCAACTTCCCAGACTCCAGCTGATACATGCGAAGATAGACTTCGACCTGAGGGGTGGCATCACTGATGAAGCGGATCACTTTCAGGGCGTGAAGGACATCACAGTACTGATCCTTGCGGTACATCATCACCTGGGCGTGGGACTCGTGGTGGGGAGGCAGGATCCCTGCGCAGACCCAAAACAAAAAGGGAAAAATAACGAGACACCAATCCAAATGTTCCGCCTATTAAAAAGAACCCTGTGAGATCCAGCTTCACAATTAGACCAGACTTCATACAAACATTTGCTACCACACAGATTCTCTTTTGGAAACTCTCACCGGAACAATCTTAAATGCTCTACGTTATCAGTATCAGAATGATGACATTTGATCACTGATGTTAAAGAGAAATGAAATGGCATCAGGAGAGCCTTAAGCATGTCCCATAATTTCAGGACAGTCATAACCACAAGGTAGCTGTCAGGCTGGCACCACCTTGTGCTCCTGCTCTCCACTTTAGCACCTCGCCTCCTACATCTCAGAGCCAACACCCTGTCCAATCCTCCTTCTCCACAGCAGTTAAAACTTGTTCACAGAGCGTCCTCTCTTCAGGGCTGCAGAAGTCCCTGATCTTCATTGACGAGTTCACCTTACTGCATTTCGGACGGTTTATGCTCCTTGCTCCATTTAAACATGGCATCAGCTCATTAGGCTTTGTCAGAGGAACCACAGCTCTTTTCAAAGCAAGTGACACAGTAAACACACAGTGGGGAGACCGCTGGATGTACCCTCAGTAACTCTAGGCTCTCATCTCAGCTCTGCTAACCCCAGGACTCTCGCGAATACGCCCGTCCCTCTGGGCTCGTTTCCTAATTTAGCAAGGGCAGGAGATGGGACAGACAAGCATTTCACCGATGTTCTCTGCAGAGTCCAAGCCCCAAGCATCTTCATCAGAAAAGGAAGTCACAGTCGAACAGATTTGAGGAATGGTGGCAGTGAATTTGCAAAGCTCTCAGTTTTGCTATAAGGCAAAACAGTTATTTATTCCAGCCTCATTCAATGTAACACAGCTGTACAGAAGCACCAGGCTCTGGACTCAAAGTTCCTGGGTTTGATTTCTGGCTCTATGATTAACTGATTGGGAGCCTCTGGCAATATCTTCTGTCTCACTACGGCTTAGCTTCCTCATGTGAAGAATGGGAATAATAATATCTACGCTAAGGCAGCTGTTGTGAGGAATAAACAAATCAATATACATAAAGCACTCAGAAGAGTACCTGGCCACACAAAGCTAGGATCAGTGTGAGCTCGTACATTTGACTACAGCTCACTCTAGTACAAGACACCACAGATCCAGTATTCTGGGAAACAAAAGGTAGGTGAGCTCAAAGGTGTCCAGCTATCCCACTTGTTTAAACGTTCCTTTTCCTGACACAACCTCTATTCACCATAGCTATGGGGCTCTGTACTAGGCTTTCAGAGAAGCCAAAGGAATACACTAGTGTCCTCCACTCTGGGCTAATGCAGATTAAACAGCTGTATCTTTATCACACTACTACAGGCCTCTCCCATGTTAAACCTTAAACCACTTTGTAAAGGTTGGTCCTAAAAAGTCTCTTTCTGATATTTACCTAAAATGTTAGGAGGAGGGGGGGATTCAAAGATCCTTGAGCAATCTAATAAACACACACAAGCATACCCCACACACAAAAACCTCCGCTCAGAAGAGTCCTTCACATTATAAAAGCTCTAAATTTCCAGTGTTTTTACCTCAAAAAATAAGTCACTTACATGATAATGAAAGGCATGAGAAACAGAGGTGATGAACAAGCCAGACAGGACCTGGTGCTCAGGAACTGTCACGAAGCACAGCGGTGTATCTCCTACTAATCCAGTGCAGTGATAAGAAACAGTACCACCCAGCACAGTCATGTCGGCATGACCACCTGCGACGCACCCGGGAAGGCACTTATCTTGATGTAGTGGAAATGGTAAGATTTAAGGGGAAAATGCTCTGGGAAAAACTAAAGTACGTAGTTTTCAACTTTTCTGTAGACTGCAACTGCTGAGTGATCTACCGGGAAGAAGCACACAAGCCTGCCAAGACGCACAACAAAAAGTCATTCTGCAGGGCTTTCTAGAATGGCTTGTACACCCCTTGTCTCTCTCCTCCACACTACATAACCACACTCAGAGTGCAGGTTTCTCAAGTGCTGAAAATATGCTACAATTGGAGAAGCAAACAGGGTCCACACTCTATCCTACCTTCACACGAGGTCTACAAAAGAGCTTCAATGTTATCTCTGTCACTTGCAGACTATAAGGCTTCCTCGGAGACCAGTTATGCAGCCTCCCAGTTGTTCTTCCCATCTGTCAAACTGGGATCTCATGATCTGGCTCAGGGGAATTCTAGGATTGCTCCATGTCACTGGTGGAAACCTCTCAGATCAGTGATTGGCACACGGGGAGGCCCATTAAACCGCAATACCAGCTTGTACCCCACATAAAGCTCCATCCCACCACTGTCTTACAGTTATAGCAAACAAACTGTCTAAGGAAGAAATGGAGGGTGACAGTGGGTATTATATGCTCTAGGAGGCTCAACAAAGACGGAGAAAAATCTTTGGCCCAAGCAGCTGCTCTTGGCTCCTGAGGTACCTTTGCCTCCACAAAAACTAAGCAAGTCCATTTTCCTTCTCATCACCAGAACTCATTACTTACACTTTTAGGGAAAAGAAATGCTGATTCCTTTTTGAGTCTGAGCACACATGAAGAAGTGGCACCTCTACACTGAGAATCACAAAAATATAACAAATTTAAAGCTAACTAAGTAATTAAGCTCAATACTATCACTGTACAGATGTGAAAGATGAGCCCCAGAGGGGTCTTTTTCCAGATTACCTGGCTCACAGCAAAGAGCAGACCAGTTCTCCTTTCTCCCTGTCCAGTGTTTTGCCCCATCTTATCTTGGGAATGTGCATTACTTCCTTTTCCATCACTAACAGAGTAATAGTTCATGTATTTCTGCTGCAGTCACCATCCTAATGCCTTTCACAGTGAGCCTCCGGAGGAAGACCTAAGACTCGGAAAAGGGCCTACCCACATCCACCCTTCCTGCCTGTGAGATGACAAATGATCCCATCATGCAATGCTTTTGAAGATAAATTCCCCGATTTCTGGGTCTCATACCTAGGAGCACCTTCCATACCAACGCACGGTACATGGATGGGAGAGGGAACCGCTGGCTAAAAGTACAAAGTTTCTCAATATCTAGAGGAAGAAAAAACAATTAGAAGCTTTTCGAGCTTAATAAAGTATGTATAAGCGCATTTCATTTTTTTTTATTGGAAGGACAGTTGGGACATTTCTTCTGGGAAAGTCTACCATATGGTCAGCAAATTTAGGAAAGGCAATATTGGTCTGATTTCTAGCCCAGATCTTGTATCAACTTAGCTTTTTAAAACAATTAGCATTTTATAGAATAAGAGATGCATTCTGCATATATTACTACCTTCCTTATAACACTAGTGGTAGTTAATAATTAAATAACTCATCTCATTTTAGCCACATTACAAGCCTATTTGGGGAGCTGTTGTTCTGCAGATATAGAACAGAAGCTCAAAGCAGTTAGTGATTCACCAAGTTCACACAGCTGGTAAGTGGCAGCATCAGCCCCCACCCACCTCAAAATTACACCTAACAGTCCTGGCCTCCAATTCCTCTTCTTATTAAAGAAGCATTATAATGCCAGACACATTGAAACAGACTCCACAATGAGACTAAAACTCAGATGTGAAATATTTCTAAAATTTAAAAGCACTCTATGGGGGGTAAGGTGTACAGCAATTGCCTAGCAAATGTGAGTCCCTGGGTTTGATCCCTGCACAAATAAAACACAACAAAAAACAAGCAAATAAATAGCATCCTATGCATATAAAGCATATCTGACTAGGGTTCAATTTATTTTACTTTGACTAACAGCTGACTTTATTATCCCTAACTTAAGATAAAGTAAAACATCAATATATAATACAGTCTTAGTATTTCCACAAAGGAAAATCAGGACTGAAGTTGTTGCAAGTTTACCCAGAAGCTATGATGACATATCTACAAACTGAAGAAAGGAAGCACAAAGCATTAATAAGGACAAATGTTATTGTTTACAAGACCTTGCAAAACCTTCTGTCAGTGAAATATAAATTTGAAAATTCTAGAACTTTTCTCAAAACATACCATTCTGATGTCACCAAAGCACCCGAAGACTATAACAAGTAACAAATACCCTGGATGTCTTTGAACATAGTATTTTTTTCAAAATAATTGAGATGACTGGCAACCAGTAAGATTTTGAGTGCGTGGGTGGGAGGGGGGTACTAGGAACTGAATCCAGGGCCTTCACACTGAGCTACATCCCAGCTCTTTTCTTATTTTTTAGTTTGATACAGTATCTTGCTAAGTTGCTAAGTTGTCGTGGCTGGGCTCAAATTTCTGATCCTCCTGCCTCAGCCTCCCAAGTAGCTGGGATAATAGGTGTGCAGCACCAGACCCAGCTGAACCTATAAGCTTAACGAAACATGTAAAACTCACCCAAAGGGTCATCTTTCAGTAGGATTTCCAGTGACTTCTTTTCCTCCACTCCACGAAACCCCATTTTCTCATAATATACTGAACGAAAGTTTCTCTGAGAGTCTTCAGTCATGTTTCATTCTTGGAGGGGACACCTAGAGACATAGAATAAAGAGTTGGAAAATTTGCCAATGATCTTCTCCAGCTTTTCAATTAGTCAGATATACCATGACAAACTGCCTGCTTTTGCAGAGGACTTGATATCGAATCTCCACATTTATACAACTAACATAATGTCACCTACGCACCTTGCCCAAAATTCAAGATGTCAGTCAACAAGCACTTTGCTAAAATAGACCGCGAGAAAGGTTTATGCACTTCTCAGCAGAGGTCCTAGCACAATGGATATTCTGTAGCCTAGGGAAGACAGGCAAGAGTATATGTTGCAGCAAAAAGTGTCCACCAAGCAGTCCACAGTGTTTCTGTTTTTACAAAATATGCATTAAAAATTAAGACTATATTCCAAAATAGTAGCAATGGTTATCTTGAGGCAATAGGATTCCAGATGCCTTTCATTGTCTTCCTTTTGCTTAACTGTGCTTTCTAAAGTGGGCATTTTGTAAAATAAAAATTTAAATTATAGAAGACTAAAAAGTCACAAGTTCCTCCCTTATTTTTCTTTTAAACACAGTATTACCCAATGTAACTATCAAAATTCAAAACCCACAATAGATACGCACTATTAAATTATAACCAGAAGAGGGTAAGGAACTGGCACTTGACAAGAGACACCCACAAAACTGGAGGCAGAAAAATGACGTAAAATCTGGCCAGAGGACTTAACAGCTCCATGATCCCCGGTTGTTTCACGAGAACCTTCCTAATGTTGACAGTCTAGCGTCAAGAAAAACTCAAATTATGTTGGTGTTTCACAAACGGTAAAGTTGTAATGCGTTTTCTAAATATATTGCGCTGCCTCACTCAATCGCTTCAAGTGCTGAGGCAAAAAAGAAGAAGTGCTCAGTTATTTAAAAAAATCGGAGACTTCTCCACGACCAGAGGAGGGTTTCTTCCTTATTGAAAACATGACCTCTGAATCGTGAACCGATGCGGTCCCAGGGAAGATTAGGATTCGTTTAGGAAAAACGGTTCTAAGAATTCTGAGCTCTGACGACCAGATGCTTTAAAAAAAAATCCAAAACATTAAAATGCAAAGTGAGCTGGGGATTTGCTTTTCAAAAGCATTCAAAGCTCCCTGCTGTCTAAAGACACCATGGCACTACAATGGCAAAGGCGACCGGGTGGCAGAAAGTCTGCCGGGGCCACCTGCTGCCCGTGCGCGCGCACCTGCCCGGAAAGGAAAGCACGACCTGGTCCCGGACCCCAGGTCCCCCTGGCGCTATTCTGTATGCTTCAAATCCAGCAGTGGCGGTGAACACACCCGGGTTGGGGCCAGGGTTCACGCGAGACAGCGGAAACCAGGCAGTGCGCGCGGCTGGACCGCAGGCTCGGGGGTGCGCGTGGGTGGGCGGCGTCGGGACACCCGCGCACCTGGCACGCCACGGAGCAGCGACCCCGGGGCCGACGCCGCCACACCAGCCGCCGGACGTGACGTCAGCCCAGGTGGGCGGGAGCTGAGTGCGCGCGTGCGCACAGGGCGTGCACAGGAAGCTCCACCCACGCCCCGGCTCGGTGACATCTGAGATGGGTGAGCTCCTCAGCTCTTACCTCCAGTTCCTGCGATGACACTCTGCACTCTGCAGGAGCTAAGATCCTGTGCCCTAGCACCTCCATTGCCCCCAACCCCCTCCTGATCCCGCTGCCAGGCCCCCAGGGTCCTGCCTGGAGGAGACTCGAGCCCTAGGCCGTGTGTCTTCAGCTCCCTGCAGGGACGGCCCGGCGGGTTGAAATAAATGAAGACCAACCAAAAGAGAAGCCGCAGATCTGTTTATTCACAACTCGCCGTAGACAGAGTCAACCGTTTGAGCCCCTGGCGCTAGTTTCTTGGCAGCAACTCGGCAGGGAGGAGGGGAAGTTGCGGCGATCAGGGAGAGGTTGGGGTGCTTTGTCTTTCTCCGGTTAGTCCTAAGTCGGAAGCAGGGACAAAAGTTAGAGAAACTGATTTTTGAATGAAACGCTGGCCACTTGGCGTCACCTGTGACAGAAGTGACTGTTCGTGGATATCACCAATCTGTCTTCCTGCAGCTGTGACTTGAAGTGGGCTAGGCTCCTGGGCTTTTTGTTGTAGACGAGGAGCTGGTTTTGTGCACAGGTTGTGAATCAGAGTTCTATTTGATATATGGCCTGGCTGTTGTCTGTATATTCAGCCTCTCGCGTGAAATACTAGAAAAATAGGTGAAAAATGAAATAGAAAAAAAAAAAAAAAGATACAAGCCCCAATTTGGTATTAGATTCAACAGGCATAAAGTTCAACTTTAAAGTGGCTTTTTAGTATTTCCAAACACTTTCAGTTGCTGTACTTACATCAAAGGACCCTGGCCTTGCTGGAGAGCACTTTCCTGAGATTGTTAAACCAGCGAGATATAAAAGCAGTTCCTTAGAGAAAGAGTGCTGAGGACCAGCTCGATGCGGTATAGAGCAAGCAATAATTAACATTAATAGAGTGGCACAAAATAAATTGAGAGTCTGTCCTAGGCCTAAAAGCTTGACTTGTGGCAAGACCCTTGGTGGGCTTAAGGACAGATTAATCTTTAAGCCAACGGCCAGAGCTGAGACCAGCAAACAGTCTGTGAAGTTCTGGCACGTCAAAGCAAGATAACATGGCAGCTGAGGACTTAACTCATGCAAATTCCATCTAGCTCAGTACTTGCAGCTAGTCACAATCAGGTTACTGGTTAATCATCATCTGTTCATGTGTGCTTTTCCAAAATTACATTGCTCCTCAATTCTTGAACTTTGACCATGTCAGCAGTTCACCCTCACAGCTTCCTGCAGCCCGCCAGCACATCACCAATCATGCAGAGCACCTAATAAAGGCCAGGGACATGGGTACCATGTGTTTTAGCCCATCATTGGGCTTCTACTGTCCTGGTGCCCCTTGTAACTAAAATATATCTCTTATCTGTGCTATATTCTGTTGTCATACCCCCGAGCAGGAGATGGTGCTCCTAGGCCAGGCCCTCCATAAAAGAGGGTTCAGTGATGGGTGTTGATTCCTTAAAAACCTATATCTTTACAGAACAGACCATACTGATGCCAAGCTCTAAAGAGAAACTTAGAAATCAATGATAGGTAAATCAGTCCCGTTACAGTGGGGGTCACGCCTGGAAAAAACCTAAAGGAAGGTGGTATTTAACTTATGTGTGCACCTCCCAACCCCCTTACCATCTTCCATGCTTCCAGACTGGAGAACTCAACCTGGCTTAGGAAGTTATGTCTTCCATGAGTTCTGTTTACTTTGCCTAACCTTAGGGCCAGTCATTAACTTACCCAACCCTGTCTCCTTTGTCTTAACTTTAACATAGTGCATTAAAACCATAAGTATTGAAATAATGAAATGAGAAAGTGTGTAAAGCAGGTGGCACAGTACCTTGCATGTTACCCAGGAGGAATGTATGTACATCAGCTGCTACTGCAAAATCTTCACAGCAATACTACTTTGACATGCCCTTCATTATCCTTCTTGATGAACTGGCAAACTGAATATTTGGAAACTTCCATAGGAGATTAGTCTCCTTAAGGCGGTTCTCAACTTTCAGTTAAGGTGAAAGACTTTAAAGAAGTCTCCTCCCTGCAAAATCTTACAATGGCCCCCACGTCACTCAGAATAAAAACAAAAGTCTTTACAATATGTCTTCTCCTACCTTGTCCCCATTTACCATCAGGAACTCTCCTGCCCCATGACCTTCCCTGTTTTGGGCACAGTTTCCATTGTAAGCTGCACTGCCTGTCTTCTTTCCCCCGTCTTGTTCAGATGTCCCCTTCCCAAGGCCTGCTCTCACTGTTCTACCTAAAATTGCTGACTGTCCGTGCATTTCAAGCCCCCGTACCCAGATCTCCTTTTTATTCCTCTCACAGCTCATCACCTTCTGACCCCTACTAGTATTTATTTATTTATTCGGCTTTGTACTGCCAGAATGTCAGTTCCACAAGGTCAGGGGTCTTTGCTTAGTTAATAGAAGCATCCTGAGTTCATAGAGCAGTGCCTGGCACTGCCTAGCGCTTAGTGCAGACTCAGTGAATGAAAAAGGATCCCACACAAGGAGAAAAGGCAGCCATGCTTTCTTAAAATCACATTTTTGAACTGTAAGCTGTGGGAGGTCATGGTTAGTCCTGGGACTCCTAGCACAGCATGGATTCTACAGTAAGCCACACAGGTAAAGCCCTCTGAGGAATTTAATTGAAATAAGAATTTTAAGAGGCCTAGGTGCATTTTATTTAAATGTGTAACATACTGTTCTTCCGTGACCACATCCTTCTTACTGCCTTGTGATCTTACTGCCCTCTGGTGGTTAACTGTTCTTACTGAATTATGGACGTCATTGTAGTGTAGTCATAGAATCACTCCCCAAGGTTAAAAGGACCCAGAGGTCACTAGTCCTAACTGTGGTGCAGAGAGGTAAACTTCAGAGCATAGCAAGGGGAGAATACATTCAGAAGTGGTGTCGTATCTTTCAATGTTTAGATTTACTTTGATAGAATACTAATTGTCAGGTACTATCTGCCCCAAACAATTGCTCTTCTTCTCTTAGAGAAAAGGAAATAGACACCCAGTGAGGTTATGGTTACAAGGCAACTGTCTTCATGTTGAGTAGCAACTAAAGTTAATGTGAAATCTCATCACAGTATGATAGGTGCTATCGTTTAGATCTGGAATTTACTCACATACGTTAAAGGCTTGGTTTTTGGCTTGGAAGGTGATGGAACTGTTAAGAGGTGACGCCCAGAGGGAGGATTTAGGTTATGGTAGAGGGGATCTCCTCAAAAGGGACCATGAAATTCCACTCTCTTCCTCCCTCCTTCCCAGCCACCATGAGGTACAAAGCTTTGCGCTACCACACGCTCCCCACCAGAACGTGCTGCCTTGCCACAGGCTCAAAAGCAACGGGACTGCCTGAATGAACCAAAACAAACCTTTCTTCTTTATTTATTTGTTTGTTGCTGTCCTGGGAATTGAATTCAGGGTCTCCTGTGTGCTGGGCTAGTACTCTCCTTTTGTGCTACACCACTGGCACTTTTTAATATTTTGAGACAGGATCTCACTAAATTGTCCAGGCTGGCCTCAAACTTTCAAAGCTTCTGACTCACTCACCTGAGTAGCTGAGACTTCAAGTGTGTACCACTGTACCCAGCTCAACTTTTCCTCCTTTAAGTTGACTTATGTCATGCATTTGTTACATTAACAGAAAGCCTCCCAACACTATCAGTGAATGAATAAATTCAGATAACTCACTGGTCAAGCCACACCTCCAAAACATCTGAAGAGAGACAAATCTGAGGGAGGCTCATTTCCTTCATTTTGGTGATTTGGCTAAAAAAACAAAAGCTGAACCTGTATATCTCAATTATTACCGGTAACATAGACATTTTTGCATTTTTCCACAATGTGGGTGCTTATTGAATAACAATAAATTGACAAGTTACATCAATTTCATCAGCCCTCTCTGACCAAGTACTAAGGTTCACTTGGTAGCCAACAGCTGGGCAATCACAAGGCCTTTTATTTCTATCTTAATTACCAATATTTGAACACTAAATTCACATAAGCTTTATCAGGATTAACAGTGGCTTCAGGATTTGAAGAGAACAGAACTAAAAATCAAGACAGAGAGCCTACAGGGATCTGAGGAGTCACCACAGGTGACCACTTTCTGTTTGTAAATATTTTCCTCTAAGAAATTTTATTTTCTCCCTGTATCACTTGGCCATTGTGGTGTATTTTCATAACCCCTTTTAGGAGGCATAACTGTACACAGAAATGTCCTGCTGGAGAAAAGAGACATCAGTTTTGTCAAAACTGGTGGCATGGGTATCATGTAGGTTTGATTATAGGTGTCCCATGCTCCCTGGGATGTGGGACCTCTGATTACAGCTGTAGGCTGTCTAGTATGTAGGGGCTACTTAACAAATAATGGTTCCATTAACTACTGGTAGTTGCTTGGCCTTGATCTCATCTCATATTTTGCATGAGTCTTTCACAATTTTAGTGTCAAGATGGCAGTTAAAGCCAGCAGTGTAGAAACACAAACTTCATTTCCCTGAAACAGGAGAAGATTATAAAGTAAAGCTTGCAAAAGCAGGGGAGATTAAGGAGGACACATGTAGGGAGAGAAAACAGGGAGCAGTCTAGAAGGTAATTGTGG